TCCTGCAATGAGGTCGTGATGTTAAGTATTTCGGAATTTTCGGATAACTCTTTCTTTGGCGGAGCATTTCGGTCTTCTTCTAATATTGTAGTGAATATTTCAGAAATCCAAAGCGACATCGGGACGCCATGAGGTCGCCATCAAGTCGATAAAGGACTATTCACCGGCGATAAGGAACGAAGGTGGATGTGACGCATTCTTTCCGTGAAATATAATGTGTTTAAGAATGTTTTTGTCTGCTCTATAAGCAAATTGAATCGTGTTTAATTTTAGTTCCGACATCGACGCCGAAGTGATAATTACTGACATTGTATATGTTGTATTGAGTACAATCAATATATTTAAGGACTATTATAAATTCATTAATAATTAGTTGTAGTAATTAAATTTACGTTACGTTATATTTTGTTCAGCTTACCGGTGTCTAGCACTTCCAGGTTTTGAAACTAAAACTATTGGGTTGGTATATGAACTATCTGATCTTTTTATAGTTCCATTTGTCACCATTCTCCATTTACTTATCCATGGCTGCTCTTTTGGAAGCGGTATCGGGTCTCCTTTATGGGAAAAACTTTTAGTTCACAGTCTACCAATTCTGCAATAATGCAAACTAATAATTTGAGATTTGGGGGGAAATATTTTAATATTTTTTTATAATATGCGTGGGGAAAATACACGTATATACCGAACTATGTTGTTGAGGGAATCAAATTTGCCCCGGGAGATTTTCTAAACTTTTCTATTGCTTTGTTTAATTCGAAGAATTGGAAATTAAATTTTTTCTTATGCTCGTTTTTTTTAGTATGATATAAATTGCTGTGTGCAATAGTGTGCGGTCACTATGCCACCGATAAAACACTGGTCCAGATAACCCAAAACGATTTAAAATTGAAATAGAAAAATCTGTATCTGGGTCGCACCTTGGATTCGAATCAACACAATTAATTGATTGACAATGACAAATTTTTATTCCGAAATACATAAAACAATAAGAGCAAACTCTCTGAAAGAAAGAAATGCTTACAAAGTTTGTTCGGATATAATACCCCGCACGCAGGCGGTCAATAATAAAAAATAAAAAATCGAACTTTCTTCTTCTCGAAAATTTTCAGAATACAGACAAACCGTTTTAAAAACTTTCTACAAACTTTGACTACGTTACGTGACGATAACTTAAACCTTTTATTAAAATTGCCTCTACACACTTTATTTCGAAACCGACGAACCGTGTCTTCAACAACATAAATAACCCGAGATTTAGCGTAAACAAATTTACACGCTGTTTTTACCGTCGCGAAAGCAGCTGGCTCATTTTTCGTTGATTCCAGTATTTAAAAGAGCACCTCTTTCGCGATAAAATAATCTCCTTCCTCAGAATCATTCAAATCAACCGCCAATCATAATTAGACTTGATAACGCCAGCTTCGAAGGAACCCGTCCTCACTTACGCCGAAATAACGCGCACTTTATCTCTTCTAACAGCGATATAAACACGTGCGTTAATTAATTTTCGTCCGATAGCAGAACTTCTTATCGCGAAAGACCAGATGTCCCTACAAAGTAAAACGCAATTTCACGCTTCACAATTAAATTTACAGATCTAAATAAAAAAAATTACCAAAGCGATCAACTTTCAACAGTGAAACAACTTCATGCTTATTAATAACTAATCTCCCAAATTTACTCTTGTAACGTGTGTTGTGTTGGTAATGGATTTAAAATTACAACAGTAACAGAAGAAACACAAGAAACCACAGAAAATGAAGATTGCGAAAGATAAACAAATCCAAATAATTATCCTGAAGGATCCGAAGCATCGGAAGTAATGGAAGGGATTGGAGAGACACTGTACATATGCAAAATGTCAAGTGTTGGTATAAGAATTTGAAGAAACAAATTGGAATTGGAGGAACCCTACGAAGCGAGTAGGTGGTAGCACATGGTAATTAATACAGGTGTCAAAAGTAATTAGTGTTTACGGCCGTAAAAGTAAATACATTTCCAATAAGTGTAATTACACCGCCCTCTCCGAGCGACCGCACAATAGGCAGAATGATGAGAACTTAACAGGCATATCGCCTAAACTAAAGTAGGAAGAAGATGAAGAAGTAATTACATCATAAACAGCAAGGTTAGTTTAAAACGTCACATTTTATCACGGTTCTTTCATAGATTTTAAATGTGACCAGTGCAATTATGCATCCAATGATACAGATAATCATTGTCTGGCTCATATTTCCAAAGTCTTTAATTGCACAACAACAAATATGAGATATATACATCATTCTTTCACACACTCCGCTTTGAATAACTTCAGATGCTGTCAGTGTAATTACGCTGTCACCTGTTAACACCAACTTTCTCAAAAATTGAATTTGTGATCGGTGTAATTACCCTATTACTCACGATAAGCGGCATACTTTAAAGCAAGCTGCAGACTGTGTGGTAACTGCCACATACACTCGCCATTTGCAAATTATACCAGCGCCTATTTAGTGTTAATCTAAATCACGAGCTTAGTAAATTCGGGTAAAAAAGTAAAAGGGTTTGAGTATTCTAGACCCTTTACAAAGCCTTCTGGGCGATTTGTAACACTTTTGAGTATGTTTATAGAGGCATTCCAGAGCATTTTCGGCCTAGCCCGGGAAAGGTAGAAAGCTTTAGAAAGGATGCAAGGTTCAATATTCCAATATTTTTTATGTTTTTCTTATATCTCCTGCAGTTTTTGAGATATTTCGCTAAAATTTGAAATATAAGTGAAGGGCTTACATCACTGGTCATGTCAATTGTAGTGAGAATCTACAGGGTTTGGTTTTTCAGTGGTTCATTTTCAACCCCTGGACTTTTTTTTCATGCGGCACTGACAGATTGTGAAACAAGAATTTGATTTTCTGATTTGTTTAGAAACTTTTAAGTTTTTTGTAATTTTTTCTTACCTGCGACCGTTATCGAGAAAAAAATGAATTTTCGGTACTTAGCTAAATGAAAGTTTAATTTCTAAAATGGTCCAGTAGGACCTGGCTTTATTTGGATAATATCTTGTTTTTATTAATTTCAAAAATTGTATTTTGTATTTGAATATGTTTATAAATCTAAAGTATACGGTGTGAAATTTTAACACCCTGTAGGTCAGTAACGAAGCGTTTGCAGACCTATGTTTATATGAACTAAAATAAGCCTATTTACATCTTATCTAGAACACCCTGTATATTTTAGGTACTTTTTGAACTTTTTGGACGATGTCTTTCTAGCGCCTTTTAGAGATAAGAGATCTATTGGAAGTGTTCAGAAAGCTCTCGAAACGTCTATCAAAGGTCTATGAAGAATCTTTATCCACTATTAGCTCTTCCAAAAACCTTCAACTTTTGATAATAATGTCCTATACCTATCTCAGATATTTTTCAAAATATCTTGGTTTTCCTGGTTTTTATATTCTAATCTTAAATAAGTTATATATTATGTAATTTACATGAAAACGAGGTGGCCATGCAAAAAAAGGCAATTTTTATCTGCCTTGTCCAAAGCTAAAATCATATTTATTAATTTTTCGAATAATTTGGAGAATAAATTTGATAGTATAAACATAAACAAATATGTATCTTGGTTTTCCTAGTTTTTATATTTTAATCTGAAATAACTTCTAATTTACATAATTACGAGGTGAATATGAAAAAAATGAAACTAATATCACTGACTGGATGACATTAGGAGTTAAATTAAATTTGCTTTGTAGTCAAATGTTTTTACTTATTCTCCAGTTTTTGGACTTAAAATAAATTGTTTGAAAAATAAATTAATCGATATGATTTTCGTTTTGGACGAGATAGATAAAAATTCCCATTTTTTGCATGGCCACCTCGCTATTATGTAAATTAGATATAACTTATTTAAGATTAGAATATAAAAACCAGGAAAACCAAGATATTTTGAAAAATATCAGAGATAAGTATAATACATTATTGGTCAAAAGTTAAAGGTTTTTGGAAGATGACAGAAAAATATACAAGGTGTTCCATTTAAAAAAAGTGAGATTTTTAATATGAAGTTTTGTAACTTTGGATCTACAAGAAAAACACCCTGTAAGCTATTTTTTTAATGTGTCATAGTAGATGTATTTATTTGACTTTTACTTAACCCAGTATAAAAGATATCAAATCTGGAATCAAAATTTAAGTAATAATTTTGAGAATATACTGACGCTTGCAAATGCCCAATTTTTCTTACAAATCGAATTATCTTTAAAACTACTGGTTTTTCGGATATTAACCATATAATAAAAAAGACGTACAATTACACGTAGAATTCAAAAATGCATTCAAATACAGGGAGTTCTATTAAAAAAAAATGTACCATTTTAGCGCCCTACTTTGTGGGCGCACTCTGTATAATATAATAGAATATTCAACCATGTCATAATACAAAAGCACTCTATCAAAAAATCTTATCTTAAAGGCATTATTAAGTGACTCCGCGCAATCGTTGCCTCACCCTGTAGGTACATGGAATGCCTCATCACAACATCATTCATCGCTCATTTAGCATCTTTAGACTCTCCAATTAATATTCTGCACATTTCCACTTTCAAATATTATACAGTAGCAGTAGCTGTAGAAGACCTGGGGCAAATAAAAAAGAATGTGTAAAACCACCTTAATGTATTCATACGGAAAAATTTATATGGACGCTAAATAAATTCTCCGTAACACAGGCGAATGTGATCAAGGAATAAAGGCGAGATATTCAGAATATGCAAAGCCTTTCAATTATTCTTAGAATCGCCATTGTAGGTGCGTGTTATGTTTCTTGATTTTGTTGGTAAGCCACGATCGTAAATAGTTTTAATGCTTCCTTTAGTACTTCTTGTCGAGATTTTTCTTGCCTCTTACACCGCAAAGAATTTCCTATGCAGACGCTAAAAGATTTACGACCTTTAAATTTTCAACGTTTATGGGCACCTAGCAACGTAGAGTCTTATTAAACGTCACCGTGTAATAGTTTCGTGCGGTACCTACAATAATTTAAGATGCCTAGCACGGAATCCATAACCGTAACGCGCGACGAGTCGGATGGAGGTTCCGTAACGTACGCGAAGCGGATGTCGAGGCTGAGGACGGAAAAGGAATTGGACACTTTAAGGGAGGAATTATCGCTCGAAGATCACAGGCTGAGCCTAACGGAACTGACCGAAAAATACGAGACCAACCTTAAACGCGGCTTGACCAGGCACCGCGCGTTGACCTTGCTGCAGCAAAACGGCCCAAACTGCTTAATACCCCCCCCGCCGAAATCGCAGTGGCACATTCTGGCAGGAAATTTGTTTCACGGTTTTGCCGGATTACTCTGGATAGGGGCCATACTGACCATTGTGGGATACGGAATCGAATTTTATAGCAACCCCAATCCATCGAAGGACAAACTGTACCTGGGTATGTCTCAGTAACCCTTACTTTACATTATGTGACCCTGAAGTTAGCGGTTAGGGTGGTAACCAATATTGTTGAATGGAAGAAGATAACCACTCATTTTATGTTATTCATGATCATTATAAATGGTCCAAAGAATGGTAAACAGTATGTGATTAGTAATTATTTGTAGGTCTATTATTAACATTGTCAGGGCACTATTTTCCTTTCTCTGGTCAATAACTTCCCAATAGCTGCTTAATGTCTAAATGTCACTGCACATCTATTATTACTCGCCCTAGCATTCCCTCAAATCTTTATTATGTACCCAGGAAGCCGTTATTTTGGATTTTTTGGATTTCAGATCATCTTTGGAAAATGTTGAATCTAGCGTTAACAAAAAAATTGAAAATAGAACGCGCAGTATTACTCAAAGAAATGGTTCCTATTGACATACTGAAATTTTACAAATTCGACCTTCCTCTAGGCCCTCCGAAAAATCAATTATGAGAAGTTGCTGCCTTTCTATTTATTAATCTAGTAATCCCTCATTTACAATGAACATTTACATTTTTATTTACAATTAAAAATGACGTAACTTTACCTTAGTTATATAGCGACTAAAACTACCCTTTGTGTGTCTAACCTTGGAATACTGGATTATCTCCGATTAGGCCTTATGGAGTCGAACCGAAAATGATTGACGCTGAATTCGGGCTCGAGATGGAAAGGTTACGCAATCCAAATGTAATAGTTAATTTTATTAAAACGTAAAGTAATATCTGTGATATAAATAGCATGGAAACGCTTACAAACATTATCAGTACCTACCAACTCGAACTGTCGGTAACTACCGCGTGGTTAAGATAGACATAATCCCCGACCAACATTACTTCGTGTAAAGGCTACCTCAAACCAACACGAATTATTCGCAGTTGCAGCGAATTTTTCGCAGCAAAAAATTCGTTCCATAGTAATTATATTGCAGCTTATGGAAACGCTCAGACATACGCGTCAGTTTGCCGTTGCAACTGCGATTGTGCAAATGTCAAAAACGGAAGCTTTAATAGAAATTGTTAAAAAATGAAAAACATCTGAATGCTGCCTTATTAAGGGAAATAAAATTTTAAACAACTTTTATTTATTTTAACTCGGGAACGATTGCATTTGGGTAGGTACATTTGGTACGAAGAATTGAAATATCCAATAATATACAGGGTGTTCCATTAAAAAATGCAATATTGGTGTGCCACGCGTTTATGATCTATCTTGTATAATTAAAATTACTACGGCCTAGTGGACATTAAAGAAACTTTTGTATTTTGACCTTGATGATGATCCATTGTATGATCTTAAGCTTTTTAAGAACTGAACTATTGTAAGACGTCTTAAGGGCGGTTGCTTAGCATTTTTGGATCGGTTGTCGAGGAGGTAATTATTAACGCGCATTTTAGAAAATGTGTTCTGTATGCAACAAAATTGTGCCATCGTGGCGCCTAAAATCGGAAATGGATGTTAGTTAACTACCGAAAAACTTACAGTAAACTATTCCGGTTTAAAGTTTAGTAGGGGAGCGAAGGGTAATTGCGAACACTTAAGAAAAAAAATCAGTAACTCTATAAGTGTAGCCATTACCTAACTACCAATTAGGAGAACAGATACTGGAAACCCTAACAAATCAATTGTAATACCAAAAAATGCGAAAATTAAATTGTAAAATGACACAATATTTTTTTTAAAAAAAGTGCGCATGTTCGGCATTGCCCGAAGGTTTCGGGTAATGATGTACAACAGGTGGGTAATACCGAACAAAACAAAAAAGACACAAAATTGGACAACTAAGTTTTTTTATTAACTGCAAGTAACATCGCAGATATAGTTTACAGCGCTATCTTTTCCACTGCACATTTTGTGTACTACCCAACCTCCACAGGAAACACAACGATACCAAATTTCGTCTTTTCCATATTCCCCACATACTAAGCAGGATTCTCCTCCGTTTCCTTCAAAGTCCATCATATTTTGGGGATCCATATCGTCGAGTTCATCGTCGTCGCACAATTTACTCTCATCTATTTCATCTTCACTAGACGAATCGAAAACTTTTCTAACGTGCGATTTTTTTTTCGGTTTCTGTTTTTTTGTGGCTCTTCTTTCCAAGGTTGCTTCTTTCGCTTCTCTTTTTCTTTGTTTCTCTTCTAACGTAGCCTTAAAAGGTGTAGATGTAAGAATCTCAGACTTTTGTTTCCGGCGCTTAGTCGCATGTCTGGTAATGCCGAACACAGTGTCCGTGATTCCCCGAAACGACCTTCAAAATTATTTCAGGTTACAAAAATAAAAAACACAAACCTATGATATGATAAAGCTATCGTCCCTGCTGATAACCATCAGCTTAGAGATTATAACTATCCATAAAGAATTTTAAAATTCCAAAATACAAAGCTAACTTACCTTAATTTTGCATAAAACGTTTTAATAACAAAGCACATACAAATTCACAAATCGCCATAACTCTCATAAACGGGAAGCTAGAGGTTCCTTTGCGCTGTACCGACCAACTTGTCATAGCATTTTCTTTTATATTTAACTGTATGTAAATGCCAATAGTTGGCACTGCAAGATACAAATGGATGTTCGCCATTAGCCGCTGTTCGTGATTACCCTTCGCTCCCCTAATCAGAAAATTATACTTATACGCAGATTATATAAATGCAAAAGTCCTGTTAATTATCATGAAAGTATTTTGTTAACTATTGTTTAGATAAATAAATAAATTCATTTAACGTTCATTTTAAAGTTACAGGTGTTTTCCATTTCTCCGATACAAACTTGTACAATCGGTAATTGTTTCTATTTAGTTGGGACATTCTTATTTGATATTTTTCTTTCTTCTTAATTTTTACTCATGAGTAAGTCTTTTGTATAACCTCATTTTATCTATAAAACTGTACAGGGTGGCCAAATAAGAATGCCAGGTACTGTATCTGGGAACCTGTCCATCGTAGAGGCTTGCGGTAAAAAAAGTTATTACTAAAACGGCCCCGAGAAAAACCTGGAAAATATTTTTAAGTTCCTGAAATGGCCGCTAGGGGGCATAACTGCAATCGGGAATCTAAAAAAGTGATGTTTCGTCTGAATTCCGCTATATTAACCTAACAAAAAAATGCCCGGTCTCTGAAGTCGACGATAATCTGAACCTTTTTTGTTTGACAATTTTTGCTGTATCTCTAAAAATGAAGTGGTGAGGGTTATTCAAAAGTTTCCGTAAAAAACACCCTGTATTTTCCAAACGGCTAACCCGATTTAAACAAACTCGGGTTAGTTCAAAAGAGCTATTCTTCAGCTGCAAATATTATAATAATAAAGTTTTGTTAGTTTCACATATCGCTGCTTGAGGCCTTTTTTCGACATTCCGACAGAAATGGTTCATTTTCTCAACAAAATTAAATGCATTAGTTTGATTTTTTTTCATGAAAAAGTAGCTAAATGCGCTCGCGAAAACCGCATCAACCTACGATACTTACTAGCAAAAGCAAAATTTTGACTCGACCACGGATTGTCGTACAAATCGGTGTATAAAAGCACGAACGTGACGCGTTAGCTCACGAACAAGATACGGAGAATCGCATACGATTTTTAGTAGGGAAATTTTTTGCCACTCGGCTCGTATTCGGAAACCAGACTTTTCATCCGGCTCATATTCAATAGCATGGCTCTTTTCGCTTTCATCAAGGCAGATATGTACAGGTACCCCATACCTTCACTTCGCGTTTAAAGTACAAACTCCTTTTAAATATCTATTTTTATATATTATATTTTAAATATATACAGGGTGCCCCTTATGTTTGGAATATAGTATATATCTCGGTAAATATCGACTGTCTACAACATTTTTCTATATGAAAGTTGTTACGCCACTGCCTTGCAGTTTAGGCATTCATTGCGATGAAAACAATTTTACTGCCAATTTCGTTTTGCCTTCAAGGTTTAATAAGAAACGTGAAAATTAATGAATAAATAAATGTTCATTTTGTACGATTTATTCGGTAGGGTGTGAGGCACTAGGCGAATTTTACCGCCGCTGTCGTCGTGGAATGTTCGCTGCCGCTGTCGTCGTGGATTGTTCGCTACCGCTGCAGCTGCGAATAATTCACATTGGTTTGGGGGAGCCTTGTTTGCCTAGGCGTAATATTACGCCTTGCAAACCTAATGTTGCATTTGCTCTAATCTAATCTGGATCTAATCTTTTCCTATCGCGCTTCCAACTTAGCGCCTTCGTTGAATGGCTCTCTCGAATTAACCCCATTTCACAAATTCAGCTGTAATTCTCCTTCAAAATGGCTGCTAATCGTTTTCAGCGGCCATCTTTATTCGTTCTACTAATAAAATTCAGCCCCCATTACCAATCCCACGTTTAGAAGAGCCAATAGCCAGAAAACTATGTGGTTAAAACCCCTTAGTACTCAGTTCACCAACACATCGGAAACAGACACACTTAGCCCATTAAGGGCCGGTATTATAAAAGTACAGTTCAAGCGGAGATTAATCAAACGGCGATTGAACGTCAAACCAAGATTGAGAGCGGTTGCGTATTATAAACACCTTGGGAAGAGCGTTTGGTTAATCTCCGTTTGAGTTTACGATCTCTAGGATGGTAACACTGCGGGCGAACCGAGGACCAATCAGAGTGCAGAATTTTCAGTGGCCGATGCGTCAGCTGACGGCTGATGACGTTTACGTTCTTCGCACTCATCGCGCCTCCGCCGCAGTTTCTTTTCGCTTCTGTGCCATTTGCCCCTGCCAGTGTCACTGTGCTGACCTATTCATCCTCTTGCTAAATCGTTTTACATAGCGCTGTTTTACCTCCCACTGTTCCAATGACAGACAAGGGAAAAAAAGCGAATCGCTTAAGGTAAAGCATGAGGATATCATCATCATCATCATCATTTGTAAGCATTGAATTTATTCAATGGTTGTAATTTTTTTTGTTTGCATCTAATATCCCTAATCATTCTGTTACACCCTCGCATGGAAGAAAATTGCAGACAAGTATAACGCTGCATCAACTGAGCCACGCATACTTGAGCAACTGAAGACAAAATATGATCTAGCACAGTGAAAATCCTCACTGGTAATGAAGCTGGAGCTGGTGACGACAGCCTCACCATTGATGAGCAATTATTAATTAATTAACACACCCAGTTGTAAATTCGCAAAAAAATAGAATTTCCATAGAAAAGCATCATATCTGTTTGTTTGGGGGGCAATTAGTGCTCCAATCCTGTTTTATAGGGATCTAACAGTATCCTTGAATAACCGAAATCTCTACCGAAATTCCTCTTCATCCCACTTGCCGAAGTGATCAACACGCTCTCGAAAATTTCTACCCTTCTTCTAATGAACTCATCCTCTGATGAAGAGTCATCGTCGCTTACTGCCCACAGTAACCGACCTCTTGCACCTCCAATACCAATTATTTCCATTTCGTTATAAATATAAACAATGACACAAAACAAAATAAATTGGTAACGATAACCTTAATTATATACGCGTTCGCGTGCCTAATCTCCGTTTGGGCGCCAAAACCCGAGAAAATTGGCGGGTTGGCTACAATCGGAGATTGAGCTTTGGTTACAACTCAAGCGGCGTTTATAATACGCGCAATCGCACTCAAACCATGATTGAACGCCAATCTCCGTTCAAGCGGGCTTTATAATACCGGCCCTAATTCCATCTTATCTCCCGCCGGACTAGCGCTACCAACTTTTCTCACGCAGTTAGTCGTCTATTACCGTATTCGGAAACCATAGACTTAAAAAACAATAGAGCAAAAAAGGGATTGAGAAACCATTGCCCCCTGCCCCCTCCTCCTCCCCAAATAAAAACAATAGAGCAATAACATTGTGGAGAAACCTGCCCTATAATGAAACTACATTGTATAGGTACCGAAAATCGCAACCTTAAAGATTTTCAATTTTCGGACCCCAACTTTGAGGAAACTACTCTTATAATCGTTCTAAGTATCAATAATTATTTGTACAACTAGTTTTGAAAGTGATACTTTTTTTCATGAATTTGCAGTTTGATTAATGAGGGCGAAGCCCGAGTTAATCAAGCAAATTCGTGGAAAAAGACACTTTCAACACGTGTTGTACACGACATTTTTTTGCATAGTGATCCATAATAACCCACAATTGAATAATTTTATTGACATTCGCGATTTACGGTCACTCAAAAATGGATATTGTTCATAGACAGGACTAAACTCCATGGAAACGCATAGTAAAAATCGTGAAAAAAAGTACCACTTCGTACGATTTTTCACTTATAATTGCACAAGAGGTTTGTATTTTACCGAGTAAATTTGGGTTGTTTAGGTAATGAAAATTTGTTGCCTAGCAATTAGACGAGAAAAACTGTCAACTAATAAAAATGCGACCCCGCAGGTGGAGCATTTTTAGGTTGACAGTTTTTCGAGTTCAATTGCTAAAAGGCAACAGATTTGAATTGCAACAACACAAATTTACTCGGTTTAAATACAAACTTCGAGTGTAATTCGGCAGGACAATTTAACGAACAAGAAATTCACATAACTAATCAATTACTGACAGACGTCAAACTAGTCATATGGGAAAGGATAATGCGATAATTGGTTCGAAAATGAATAGTGAAAAAACCACTAGTGCATTTGTCGCTGGAAAAGTTGCAGGTAACTTTTGCCGCTGTCAAAGTGACAATTTCACTGCGGCTTATGCGATTTTTTATACATGAGTTGAATTGTCGTTAAAAAAAGTCCGATAATTTCATCACTATGTAAAAAATGTATTTAAAACCGGCCACGTGTCCTAATTGCTCTATATAAAAGTTTAAAAAAAGGCGCTTGTGGGCTCTCGTTACATGCATCATTAAAAAATTATACTTTTCTTCATTTTTATAACAGGAAAATTGGTCATTAAGTGAGATTCACTATTGGTTACCCGCGCAATTTCTCCCAATGGTTTCTACTGCTGGTCGACTTAACATGGCTGATTCGACACGGATGCACGTAACGCCCACTAAAACCACCTCTGGGTTTCGACATTAATTTTGTCATAACACCCATAACCCGCTGCGTATGCTTATTTTCTCGAAACCCACTGACGCGAGACTGAATTAAATTCTTTCACCGCGCTCTCGATACTCACTCGATCTAAAGGCGCAGTTACACGGCGCGTGGTTCGGCGAACCTGACTTGACGAACCACGAACCACGAGTCGTCTGACATAGGCGGTTCGCTATTGGCTCGTGGTGCGCTCCCGGTGCGTGGTTCGTACGATCCGTTGGCGGTCGGTAAATGTGCACACATCGAAGGAGTTTGGTTCATTGGTTCGTGCAAGGTTCGTGTAGGTTTGCTATACTGCGAACCTGCTGCTGCCGGCCAGTTAGTTTTCTTATTCAGTTATGTCCAGTCAATTGAAATAGGTTATAAGTTCACTAAAGTGCCGTGGAGTACTGAAAAAACATTACAATTTGTTCTTTTATTCTTTTAATTTTTGAGTTTTTTCATTGTATTTTGCAAAATTGTTCCCGCGTAAATAACGCACAAGCTGGCACAAGCAATAATTCTCTGTCTAACATCCATGGTCGTTGTTGTAGTACTGATTTTGGTTCCGTATTATGAAGACGAACCGATTACGTCACAAATATGAACGAACCAAATACCGTTTTCACACACATGGACCCTGGTTCGGAAAGACGCAAGCCAATGTGAACCACGCACCAGTTTCGTGGATCGCCGAACCACGCGCCGTGTAACCGCGCCTTAACGCATACTTAATCTTTTCTTATCGCGTATTCGTGACTTAACGTTGAATGCTCCTATAGGCTTAATCTCCACTTTTCTCCATTTTACAGATACGCGTTAAAAATGGGGGCTAATCCGTATCAGCGACGTTCGTTCTACTAATACCAATCGTACGTTTATAAAAGTCACTATCGAGAAACCTCTGTTGTTAAAAACCCTAAATTATAACCAGTTCTTAGGCCGCTTCACGAGACGGATCAGAAACTGACACGTATAATCCATTAATTCCGGCTGATCTCCCGCCAGACTGGGGCTAAAAAAACTTTTCTCCCGCAGTTAATCGTACAGTGCCGTATCCGGAAACCACTGACAGATTCACCCAAAAAACAATAGCGCAACATTTTAAAGAAACCTGCCCTATAATCACGTAACTCCCACTAAACGCACAACCCTAAATAAATTCAATTTCAGACCCACACTTTGAGGAAACCACCTTTAAAATCGTTCCAACTATCAAAAAAATTATGTTTGGTTATTCTTCAATATTAAGTAGGAGAGAAATGTGAAAACCGCAAGTTACATTTAGAAAGAAATTTGGACACCCTGTATGCAGTAAAGAAGAAATGTAGGGTGGTTTCGATTTCTTTACACATTTCATTACATCGACTGTGAAGGCGCTATTGAGTTTTACATGCGTTGAACAAAAATTAGCAGGGGCGCATTAGGGGATCCGTTCATATAGCCCCCCTCCCAGTCAAGAACCAGTTTTTATATCTATGGTGCCTCAATTGTACTCACGGTTTATGCCTATTTCGAAAAATCAAACGGGGACAAAGTGAACGCCTCACCCCCCCCCCCCCCTAAATTAAACATTTTTGTACCGAAAAGACGGTATTGCATAGTACTTCGGTTGTGCTTTATTATGTTTTGTGCCTTTTTTTTATTTTTTTTTAATTTTTCACGTTTCTTAATAAAATGGGCGTTCTACATTTCACGGGTCAATGGTTTCCGGTTAATCGATCGATCGCCTGGAAAACTCAGCTGAAACTTATTATCACATTTTTCCATAAAAAAATCAGCGATCCTATTACGAGACCGAAATTCCATAAATACAGACACTTCAATCCAGGGCACCCTAAAATAAGGGAAAGATCGTGCCGAGAAGCAAAGGTGAAAATTTTTTGATTGAGCAACTTAATATATGAAAATATTCAGGAGGTCCGTATATGTTTGCAACCAGATGATGCCCATAGAAGAAACGCCAGATTAACAGCTTTTTTTAAACGGAAATAGGTTCATTTGTCGGAGTAAAATGGTAGCAAAGCTGAGCTAGCTGTGGCCACATTTAGGAAAGAACAATTCCAAAGCCGTAAATCAACCCAAATTTTTTATATGAAACTCTCCAAAACTATTCTTCAAACCTTACATTAACCAATTTCAAAAAACTGCGCGATTCCCAAAACATTTTTGTAATTTTTTTTTAAAGTTCTTTAGAATAGTTTTCAGTAAAAATGATTACCAACGATAGTTTTTGACGTGACGGGTCATGAATTATACAAAATGTGTGGTCCATTCAACAGTATCGGTTAGTATGGCAAGTAACTTGACGGACACCTCACCAAATTCCAATTTAAAAACCCATTCCAGGCCTGGTGCTGGTTACGGTTGTAATAGTCACCGGCATCTTTGGATATTGTCACGAGTCGGCCAATCTGGCAATAATGGACAGTTTTAAGAAGCTGGTCCCAAAACTCGCGAAGGTCATTCGCGAGGGTAGGGTAGCGGAAATCCCAACCGAAGAAGTGGTCGTGGGGGATCTGGTGGAAATTAAAGGGGGCGACATCGTACCCGCGGACATCCGAATTATTATGTGCAGAGGGCTGAAGGTTAACAATAGTCCGATCACCGGTGAATCGGAGGTGCAGCCCAGATCGACGGAATGCACCGACAATAATCCTATGGAAACTCAAAACTTGGTCTTTTACGGAACGGTAGTCGCCGAAGGGATCGGTACTGGTATAGTAATCGCCTGCGGTGATGACACCCTAATGGGCCGCATTGCCGGACTCACCGCGTCCATTGAGCCACTAGAGATGCCAATTAAAAGAGAAGTCCGTCAATTCAACACGATCATTTCTGTAATTGCGGTAACCGTCGGTTTCGTATTCTTCGTGTCGTCTCTGGCGATGGGCTACAACTTCTTCGTCGCGTTCGGATTTTTCATCGCCCTAATCGTCGCGAATATTCCCGAGGGCATGCTGGTCACGATGACCGCCTGTCTCACGCTAACCGCCAAAGCGATGGCCAGAAAGAATTGCCTCGTCAAAAATCTGGAAGGTATCGAAACCCTGGGCTCGACCAACGTGATTTGCTCCGACAAAACCGGCACGCTAACGGAGAACAAGATGACCGTGTCGCATTTCTTCTACGAGGGATTTACCGTCGACGTTCTGGGAAATTCCGAGGCGATTCAGAGGACGATCGCATTCAAGCGCCTGTGTAGGGTGGCGATTCTATGCAATAATGCGGAGTTTCAGCCGCAGCAAGAGAAAATACCCGTGCACAAGCGGGAGATTGTCGGCGATCCGATCGACGTTGCCATCTTGCGGATCATGGAGGTTCACATAGGTCACACTAAGAATTATCGTCTCGAACGGCCTAAGATATTGGAGATACCCTTCAACTCGACAAACAAATATCAGCTTTCCATTCACGAGATTCTCGCCGAAAAAGTGAATTTGGTTGTCATGAAGGGGGCGCCGGAGAATATTCTCGAACGGTGCTCCACGTACTTTTACGATGAAGCCACCGTGCAATTGACTGCCCAGCGGGTAGCTGAGATAAAGCAGGTGTTGCTGAACTTGGGATATATGGGCGAACGCGTTGTGGGTTTCGCCGACTTGGAGCTGTCGAAGGATGAGTATCCTATTGGTTATCCCTTTAGTATAGAGTCGTTGAATTTTCCGCTTGCTAAACTGAGATTTTTGGGTTTTATATCCATGGTGGATCCCCCGCGCGCTGGCGTGCTTGACGCCGTGGAGAAATGCAGAAACGCTGGCATTCGCGTGATCATGGTTACGGGAGATCATCCGGTTACGGCGGTGTCAATAGCAAAAAAGGTTGGAATTATTAGTCAGTACAACGAGACCGTGTACGATCTTGCCTGGAGGAGGGAGTTGTCGACCTCGATGCTTACTGAAGACGAGCGTCGTGCGTGTAATGCTTCTGTTATAACCGGCGCTGAACTGAAGGAGATGACACAATCGGAGTTGGAGAACGTACTCACTACGTATTCCGAAATTGTGTTTGCGAGAACTAGCCCTCAGCAGAAGCTGAACATTGTTGAAGCGTTACAGGCACTTGGCGCAGTTGTTGCGGTTACAGGAGACGGCATCAACGATTCTCCAGCTTTAAGGAAGGCCGATATTGGAATTGCCATGGGCATAGTGGGAACTGACGTCTCGAAGGAAGCGGCCGATATGATCCTCCTCGACGATAATTTCGCAACGATAGTTACCGGAATCGAGGCAGGTCGATTGGTGTTTGACAACCTGAAGAAGAGCATCGCGTACGTGCTCACTTCAAACGTGCCCGAAATCGTACCCTTCATCCTCTTCATAGTGCTGGGTTTACCCCAAACTCTAAGCGTAATATCCATATTGATAATCGATGTCGGAACGGACTTGTGGCCCGCCATCAGTTTGGCATACGAAAGCGCCGAAGCGGACATAATGAGCCGAACGCCTAGGGACCCTTCGATTGATAAACTGGTAACCTCAAGACTCATCGCCTTCACATACCTACAGATTGGAGTTATCCAAACTTGCGCGGCGTACACATGCTACTTTATCACCATGGCGGCGTACGGATTCTTCTACGATCGCCTACTTGGGTTGAGATACGAATGGGACCGCGAGGACGTGAACGATCTCATTGACTCCTACGGAGCTAAGTGGACCTACAGCCAAAGGATGAGTTTGCAACGGAAGGGCTACGCCGCCTACTTCTTCGCCATAGTCATAACCCAGATAGCCGACGCGATCATAGTCAAAACTAGGCGGCTATCCATCTACCAGCAAGGGATGACCAACTGGGTCCTCAACTTCGGAATCATATTCGAAATCTTCCTCGCGTTCTTCGTCGTCTACTGCCCTCTCATTAACCACGCTTTCCAATTCGAACCCATCCAGTGGTTCTCCATCGTTCCAGCGATCCCGTTCGCGATATTCATCATTTTTTACGACGAAGTACGACGATACATAATTCGATTATGGCCGGATGGCTGGCTAGCTCAAGAAACTTATTATTAATAGTAGATTAAGGTGTCACCAACTTCCCCATAAACGTCGCTCGTATACGACAGAACGTATGTTTAGGAATTTACATTTTCGTTGAATAAAAATACATTTAAGAGTAAATTACTTCCAGTTATAGCTGACTCACTGTTATAAAATTTATAAAAATCGCCGAGAAGGCCGGTCAAAGCACCGAATGGAGCTTTCGCTACAGTTTATAGAAGAAATTAGTACCTGCCGGGCTGAAGAGCCATGAAATTAACCCGTGCATTGTTAACACGACTTGAAGGACTGGTATATTTAAATATAGGCATGGCCTACGGTATTTAATTGTGTTCGTTGCTATAATGTTTCGTATCATATCCTTTGATATCCTTTTCCATTTTCATTGGGAAAACATTTAAAAATGTGGTTTTAATTCTATTTACGCGCGTACCTGATCAAAAACCCTTCAAGGAGTGTACTCAAACTCTCCCCAACCCTGGCAATCGGATGTGAATAATGCAGCAATAGATAAAGCACAAGCAAACAGATAAACATTCGCTTTTGTAGAGATAACAAAGTAAGTAGGTACAGATTCACGCTTCCCCCAAGCGGTAATCAAAATTAACGCCCAGACATAATTTTAAAAAAAAATTAAAAACATTGTACCGGGTTCTAAAAATGACCACTAGAGGGCGTAACTGCCATCTTAAATTCTAAAATTGCATTTCATTTAAATTTCTCATAATAAACTAAAAAAAAATTTTTCACATTTTTAAAGGGAACCACTTTATCTATCATTTTCGTAAAAAAAACAAAGACGGTGGGGGCTCAATTGTTTTTGCAATAACATGCTTTAACTTCTTAACGGCTTGACCGATTTTAACAAATTTGGTATCGTTCCTTGGGCAATAAGAATTAACTAAAATACAGTTAATTTAGTTGAATCCTTCTCCACCAGTTTTGACTTTTAGGTAGACCTTGGAAAATTAAACAAATTGAACGCCCCACGCCATCTTTGTTTTTGAAATAACTAAGTTTTTTTTACGAAAATGATAGATACACTGGTTCTCTTTAAAAATGTGAAAAAAAAATGTTTAGTTTATTATGTGAAATTTAAAGAAAATGCAATTTTAAAATTTAAGATGGCAGTTACGTCCTCATTTGACCATTTGTAGAATTTGAAAATATTTTCCAGCGATTCTTCATGACCGATTTACCTAGTCATACGACGAACGGTTCCCGAGATATGACCGAGGAACAGTCTTATAGGGTCACCCGGTACAGAGTGCGCCAAAAACCCCGGAAAGGTGGAATATCTTGTTTATCTATGAACTACTTTCAAATAAATCTTGTTTACTCTCCTTAGAGTATAGGATTATAAATATGACAAATTCCAAGAAATTATATCAAGTTAAATACATTTATTGTGGTTAAAAGGCAAAAATTTAATCGCTAACTAACCTCAATAAACGATCCTTACTTGTCAGATAATTAATTTTATCCTAGCAAATAATGTAACACGCAATTCTAAGCAAGTAAAATCTATATATTTAAATAAAAGTTTCATTACAACGTATTAAAATATAACTTTTACTGATAATTGACAGTTTGGTTTGGATATACAATTCTTAGGGCGACGACCATACTAAATATCCAGATTTTCATACAAATCCTTTTTTATCAACAAACGCGCACGCTCAAAACAAATCGCAAACGAAAAGGACAAAACGCTGCTATGAAAACAAAACGCTGACGCTTTGGGTGAGCACTAGTAAATGGAGTTTTCTGTTTTATTGCGAAATCCAGTTCTTAATTATTGAAGCACTTACTTTAGCACTCTGCTCAGAACAATTTATTTTTTTTAACTTGTCACAATCATATTGGTATTTTTATACAACGCAGATTGAAATTATTTCCCATGCACTATTAATTACGCGGTAGTCGTTGATTTTACCATCTTCTTGTATTCAATGCTTTGATTCCTCTGAATATATCACGAAGGTCCCTTTCTTAGATCAAGGATCGAATATATCTTCCGTCGGGTCTTGAGGATGTAAACCTCATACTCCAATTCATGGAAGTTGCTTACGTCTCCCGCCGATTCCTGCCAAGACTTCTCGAGGGTTACTTATTTACTTATTTCCAAGACCTCCATTCAGAACCTGATTGAAAATTCAGCCTTAACGAGTAGACATCGTGTCATTTGCACCAACGCACTATTCTTCCTCTTTACCTCTCCATTTTGTTCTTCTTGAAATTCCACTGCATTTCACAGAATTCATTGCATACTTTTGTACTCGTTTCCATTGTCAGAGAATTTGACTCTTTCGCTCCTCTACTTTCCTGCATAAACACCATACACTTTTGGAACGCGTTTTGCCTTAGAGACGTTTGATTTCTAGGACTGTTTTCTTCCAATTGCTTTCTTGGAGATCTCTCACGTTCAAGTGACCCTTGCGATGCTAAATCTCCGTCTTAGTCAATTTCAGTGTTTCATTTGTGGTAGGTGTTGTGGATACGGGTGAAAGTAAAATAAATACAACTAAAATATAATTTATTTTAGAATCAAAAATGAATCTTAAGAATCGCTGAACCGAACTCGATTTATCTTAACAAGTGTTGTGTACCTACTGTCCGAAACTACCGATTGTGTAACACATGTGCAACAAAGTACATTTCGGATGACTCCCAAGAAGTCATGAATTATATGAAAGCTTCTATTCCTTAACTCGTAAATAACACCCTTGTCGGTTAAAGAATAGACCCTTAATATTTAAACTACTTGTCGGTCCAGCGTGTTATGCACATTTGTGCAACGTAATTACTAGAAGTTAATTCCTGAAATTTCGTCCGCTACACATTGTTATGGTCTGCTACGACATCTTGATTCTCAGTTTGTTTATATGATTGTAAACATATTTTGCAAATTAAATATTATTATTAGGGTCATGGGTGCTTTTTACAACTCAGGTCTAGCCTGGTATAAATTTACCTAACAAGTTCGGTAAGTTAATTTTCCCGCATGAGCACTTTGTTTGTAGCAGTAGGGAGTGCTGCATTTAGTGCGAATGCGGGAAAATTCTTTCCGAAAGAGTTAGGTACAATATTTTTTGTTACGAATTGCGTAAAAAAAGGTCAAAATTAATAGTTTTGTAAATGTTTTTTTTAATCATGAGTTGGTAACACAATCATATGTTTGGTTGGTAACATAATTTTGTAACTACCCACTTTTAATTGCACTGGTCACATTTAAAACTTCCACATCTTTGGTTAAAACATATTTTGCCTTTGCAATGAGTGCTACTACTGGTCACGGCATTGCATCGTTTGCACTGAATATCCTTGGAAGTCTTCAATGTTAACAAATATGCTTTGAAAATAGTGCTCTTATTGGTCGTGTAAGTGTACTGATCGTATTTAATATTCCCAGAAGACATGTGTGAACAAATGTGTTCTCAAATTTGATTTATCTTGAGTTGCGTAAATACACTCGTTACATTTAAAATCCTTGGAAGCTTTGTGTGTTAATATGTGCTTTCTTAAACTGCATATGCGAATAGTTGCAGAATATCACTGGTCACATTTTAAGACGTTTTAACAATAAATTTTACTTTTTCTTGATAGTTCCAATTCTGAAAAATAATTTGATTGCGTTATAAGTTCTTGTTTATATATTTACGTAAAACTTAGTGTACGTCTGTTTCCGATTAATCGCACTAAAAATACCCTCAACCAACGGTTTAATTGATTTTACAGCAGATGACAGTTAACCATGACATGACGTTCGTTGACTTCAATAAGTACTACCAACCGAAGAACGCGCAAACCCCTTCTCTCCAGCGGAAACTAAAAAACACCGCGATGCGGGAAAGTCGTTTTCCCGTGCATCGAGGATGCTTGGAAACATTATCTTTCCATTCAATGAGTACAAAAAATAGATTTTTGTATTTTATCTATGTGTGTAATGCCTGGTCTATTATAGTGAATAGTTTTGTCTCTGAGTAGCGCCCTATCCCAATATAATTTATGTGTGTGGTTTTCAAGTATTATCTGTGGAGTGTATTTGTAGTATGGCGTGTGACCTGTTATGAGAGTAGGCTTAAGAACTAATTTTTGATGTATGATTTTAGCTACCTGATCGTGCCGAAGTTTGTATTTTGTTTGTGCAATCGCGTACACATATTATATGTTGGATTGTGTCTGACGTTTATAAACAGTGTCGACAAGAATCATGTATCAGTGTTTTTTTGTCTTTATGTAATTATAGTTGCGTATGTCTTGTATGACTAACATGACACCTTCCTCTGGGAAGATATCACATTAAGATAACCAAGCGTGAAGTTCCATAGAATCAACACAATCCTAGTTAAGATGATGAATCTGGTGTTTTGTTAATAGTGTACTGGAGTTTCTCTGAATTTGTTCTAATTCTGTATTTGTCCATAATACACTGCCAAAGTAACGATGTGACATGTAGAAAAGATTTCCATGTCCGCAAAAAGGAACCATACACGTAAAAATAACCAGGAAGAAAATAAGTTGAAGTTAATTTGTTTAGAAGTAAAAATAAGGAAATCCCGCCAAACAAGGAACCAACAACTTCTACAAACAAACCCGTTAATTGTTCATATACCTCAATACTCTGTCAACAGCAGCTTCGATGAGTCAAAACGAGACAACAGGCGAGCCCAGTGGTAACCGAGTTAAAATTCAAGGAGACCGCGTTGGGAACCTTCGCAAGCCCAATCGTCAGCATACCGTCAGTAACGGTTACATCACCTGGAGGGCGAGGTTGCCAAGACATACCTCACCTATCCAGTGAGGATCACACAAGCCCGCGATTGCGTAAGCAGCAGATCGGCTTACGAGACTCATCCAGGACACACGGGCAGTACAACAGTACAGCAGCTATTCGCTATTGGCACTGCGAAAAACAATCACGAGAAGAAGGGGGCTACGAACGGCAACATCTTCAACATCCCAAAATGAATCCAAACTCTCCAGAAGGACTTAAAACCATCCACGACACTATTGCAGACATCCTACGGGCCATTAACAACATGG